TTTTGCTCCCTGAAACGTTAATAGTAGTTCTACCACTCAAGGGCAATTTTTTTCTGCTGCTGCCTCAGATCTCCTCCCCTCTGCTACAGGGCTGCCTCAGTCTCAATCTATCCCCTTCCCTGCATCTTGTTAATTTCTCCTCTCCATTGGTTCTTAGTAGTCTCATATAATCCTGTCCAAGACCCTCTAAATTTACAAGAAAGAAAAAAAAATAAGAAAAAAGAGGCAAGGAGAGGGAAAAGAAGGGAAGGGGAGAAAAAGGCAAGCATGCACATCCCTGATGCCCCCTCTCTCATTTCCTTCAGAGCCCTTTGTAGCACCCAGTCTCAATTAGCTACATTAGCCCACATCCACCCAGGCTCAATTCATTACAATGTAGCTAACTACTGCTGCTCAAGTTCCAAGAAGACATCTTAGTCATCAAGTCTGAGAGACTTTATTCAGTCCTTATCTTACTGGTCTTTTTAGCCTGTGGACCACTTCTAGACCTTGGAATATTATTCTCCTCCTCCCTTAGCTTCCCAGACCAATGTCTCAAAGTTCCCTTTTTTTTACCAGTGCTGTCTGCCACAGACTGTGAGTCCTTTCCCTACTGGCCCCAATTCACCACTTGAATGTGAGAATTATCCTAAAATCGTATGTATCTTTCTCAATTCTGTAATCTTATTATTTATCCTATCCTGCTGGTAATTCTTCCTAGATCCCTTGTACATCCACCCCCTTCCTCTACTTCCCTCATCATTTCTCACCAGGAATAGATTTCTAACTGGTGCTGCTTCTAATTTTGCCCCTAATTCAGCCTTCACTTTCTTGCCCAAATCATAGGTCTAAAACATAAATCTGATTCCATTCACAGCATGACCTTTTTTGAAAAGTAAATCTCCACTCTTCGGAATGAAATTCAGGTTCCCAAGCTTGGTTCACAATCCATGATGTGGCTTAATACATCGACCCTTCATCTAAAAACTCAGCTGTCCCCACATGACTACTGAATGTAACTAGTTGAAGCTGAAATATGCTATACATATAAAATACACACCAGAGCCTAAAACCTGAGTATGAAAGGGAAAATGTCAAATGGCTCTGCAAAATAATTCCATGTTGAGATTCTACTGTTTTAGATATATAGGGTTGAATTATACATTTTTTTTCTTTCTTTTTTTTTATTTTGTCAGTTGTGGGGTCTGAACTCAGCCTGGGCGCTGTCCCTCAGCTCTTCAGCTCAAGGCTGGTTCTCTACCTCTTGAGCCACAGCCCCACTTCCGGCTTTTTCTATTTCTGTGGTGCTGAGGAATGGAACCCAGGGCCTCATGCATGCAAGGCAAGCACTCTACAACTGATCTACCTTCCCAGCCCCACATTTCACTTTTTAAAAGATGGTTAGTAGAAAAGTTTAAATTATTTGTGCAGCTTAAAACTGTGGTTTGTATTTCAAGATGACAGCACTAATATCCCTCTTTCTGAACCTAGTTAGCTTATGTATTTGTGTTGTGTGTGTGGTTTTTGGACTCAGGACCTGGGTGTTGTCCTGAGCCTCTTTTTGCTCACGGCTAGTGCTCTACCATTTAAGCTACAACACCACTTCCAGTTTTTGTTTTGCTTTGTTTTGTCAGTTGTAGGGCTTGAACTCTCGGCCTCGGCTCTGTCCCTCAGCACTTCAGCTCAAGGCTAGCGCTCTACCACTTGAGCCACAGTGCCACTTCGTTTTCTGGTAGTTAATTGGAGGTAAATGTCTCATGGACTTTCCTGCCCAGACTGGCTTTGAACCACAATCTTCAGACCTCAGCTTCCTGAGTAGCTAGGATTACAGGCATGAGCCACTTGGTGCCCAGCTCACTTGCAGTTTTTGAGTGGTTAAACTGGAGCTAAGACTCTCTGGAGGACTTTTCTGCCTGGGTTGACTTCTAACTGTGATCCTCAGATTTCAGCCTCCAGAGTAAATAGGATTACAGGCATGAGCCACCAGTGTCCAGCTATTAGACTCTTTCTTAACTTAGATGACCTATTCTAGAACATTCCCACCACCAAGAATCCTAGTCTGGGCTGGGAATGTGGCTTAGTGATAGAGTGCTTGCCTAGCATGCATGAAACCTTGGGTTCGATTCCTCAGTAGTAAACAAAAAGGCTGGAAGTGGCTCTCTGGCTCAAGTGGTAGAGCGCTAGCCTTGAGCAAAAGAAGTTCAGTGACAGCACCCAGGCCCTGAGTTCAAGCCCCAGGACCAGCCAAAAAAAAAAAAAAGTATCCTAGTCTGAGTCAACTACACCCCCCCCCTTGTGCCTCATTTATAGGCACCTGTGTGCACACCTGTCATCCGTTATACTATAGTAATTATGATGACCAGCCATCTTCTCTTCCTAAACCTCTTGCAAAAAGAAATACATTCTACATACACTTAAATCCTACTAGCGTGTCTACAGCTTAAAATGCACCCAAACATTTGTGGTTTGCCAAACATATGTGGAAGTTAGAACTTCTAGTTCTCCAAAGAAAATCAACCAGAACTTAACCAGGAGCTCTGATGATGAAAGACGAATGGGGAAGTAGACTCACGTAAAGAGATTGGCAAGTTAGAAAATCAAGCTCATGCGCTCTCACAGACACAGATACAGAGAGACAGAGGCACACAGAGACAGAGAGAGACAGACACATGCCTGCCTCTTACAGAAAACAGCAATTGGCAATAGTGAGATGGGCATGCCAGGGGTCATAGTTGGCATGTCAGGGGCCACAATAAGCCCCCTAAATTGATGAAACAACAAATGTATGGTGTGGCAGATTTTCAAGAAGAACAACTAGAGCCCAGCAGCACCTGTTCCAGTTCAACTGCGCATCACTGCAGCCCACAACAACAAATCTCTCTCATGAACCAAATACTAATCTCATGATGCTTCACCATGGAGCAATTTAGAAGACTTATTATATGAAATGTGCCAAAGCATGAATTTATGGCTGATGCTCATTTGGCAAATATGGCTGGCACAGCGAGATGCTGGGAAGCATGTATGCAAATAGGCAAATAAAAGTTTTTAAGCTTTCAGAGTTAAATATTTACATTACCATAAATGTACAAAGATAAATGTTTATATGAGTACACACAGAATGCATTTCAGGAACATTTTTTAATGTGATTGTCAGGGTAACAGTTATGAAGTGACATTATTTCTTTACGGGCCTCAGGATAAGACTTTTTAAAAATGAATTCTGACAGAATGTTAATGGGGTACAAACATTATTGTGGAAGTTTCTCTGCATATCACTCGTATCATAATAGTTCAAAGCAATCTTATCTTTTCCTTTCAGTACAACACTTCTCTTCCAACCCTGGAAAACAGCCAAAGATAAATGTCAGCCCCTAAATAGGGGGTGGTGGAAAGGATAACCACATGTCAAAAAGCTTTCGAAAAAAAATCATTTGACATTTTTTCCCACATAATATAATCATGTTAGTCTCCAAAATAAAGACATGATAAAATATTTTCTCCTCCTGCCCTCTGACATCTATGGGCAGGGGATGTTTGTTTTTTTACATACTTGGAGAGTTGGTCACAGAGCCATGGAATGAATTTCTGCTTTTGTTGTTAACTGGTCATTTTGGTGCTGAAAGCAACTGACTCAGACTCTGAAGCAAAAAAAAAGGCACCTTACCTGCTATTCTAATTTGCTAAATGAGCCACCAAAAGAAAGAAATGTTTAGGCAATTCAGAATGCAATCAGGGTGGTCAGTGAATTGGGCAAAATCTAAAATGTTCTGAGATTACAAAAGAAGCCATCACTGAGTTAAGTATCCAAGATTGCTCATGGAAAGTTTTACCCGTGTGGATAATTCCGTTGGGTTTTTTTTTTTTTCACTTTCACATTGCAGAGAGCAATATTCTCTCTAACTATACACATTACTACATGGCCTCGGCAAAAGAAAAAAAAAAAAGAGCACTGGATGAACCCAAATAAATAAATAAGCAAATAAGTAAATAATAAAAATCAGCAGGTAAATCCCTAAACTGAATCTCTGAAGCAGTTCCAATTCAGGTGAAAAGCTGTTCATATATTATCATCCAATGACCTAAAAATAGCCTTTTATGTAAGTCTCCAAGTATCTAATTGAACGTGGAGTCCTACCACATTCAAGACAGGCAGAAGAAGGGGGGGGGGGGGGAGTGCTAGGTTTTCTATAGTAAGGGCCAATAAGGATGAAATCATAGTTTTCCTCTAACTCATCACTACCCTTCCACGCCAGCCATCCAATAACTCCATTCCACAGCTCTGATTCCTACACTTGGATCTTAAAAAGAAAACGGATGTGCAGAAGCACCCTGGTATGTTTGTTCTCAGCAATCTTTAATGTAGCCTAGGGACCAAATCAAACTCTCGGAGGGACGGGGCAGAAGATGGGGAAGGGGAAGGGGGGAAGATTGGGGGGGGGGGGGAGGACATGGTTCAGACACCAAGTCCTCCCCTCGGGAGGAAAAGAAAAGTTGAGGAATCCGTGAGTCAACGGGGTCAGAGAAGAAACTGTTTAAACCCCAAGACTCACGCTCCGCGTGGACGGGAAGTGGGGGGGGGGGGGTCCCCCAGCCACGGAGGGGAAGAGAGCAGGCGTGAGAGCTCCAGGCTCCGTTCGTGCCCCGGGCTTGCAGGCGAGGCTGCCCCCTGATTTGGGGGTGTGCGGGGGACAGATGTGGGGTGTCCGGGGGTGTAGATGCGGCCGGAGCCGTCCTCAACTTTTGCCTCCTCTGGGGGGCGCCGCGCTCTCAGGGCCACGGCCCGGCGGAGGGCGAGGGGGGCTGGGCCGGCCGACGGCGGGGGGCGCGCGGCGCCGGCGGGGCGCGGGGTGGGACCCAGGGGGAGAACCCCGAGCGCGCGCGCCGGCCACCCCGGGCCCCCCGGCGGCGCCGCCCGGCCCGCGTCGGCGTCCTCCCCCGCCGGCCGGCGCCCGGAGGAAGACGGGGACCTGAGGGGACGCGGGCGGCCCTGCGCCCCCACCCTCCCGGCCCCCCGTTACCTGAGGGGTGCGCACACCACCGCGGGGATCTCCGCCGCCGCCCGTCCCCGTCCCCTTCCTGGTGACCGCCGCCGCCGCCGCCGAGCAACTGACACTGACTAACAACTAACTAACTACTGGCGGCCGCCGAGTCCACCGCGCGCGCCCGGCCGCTCGCCTTCCCCGCCCGTCCGCCCGGCCCACCAGCCGGCCCGCTCCGCCCAGCCCGCGCGCCGCCCCTCCGCGCGCGCTCCTGCGCCTCGCGCCCCGCGCCCGGCGCCCGCGGCGTGTCTGGAGGGAGGGAGGGAGGGAGCGAGCGCGCGCGCGCACGCGCCTCCGACTCTGCTCTCAGCCCTGTGAGGAATCTCCTCCAAAACCCGCCTTTCTGCGTGTCACTCTTCCGAAAACCCAACCTATACGGCGTCTGATTGGTTGGGTGGGTGGGGCCAAAGCAAGAGGGCGGGGCGAATGGGACCTTGGGCCCGCGTGGAGGGGAAATTCAGGTTCAATTAGTTAGGCGCTTAGAGGAAACGGGCAACCGAGCTCTCCCCCTGCTCGGAGCCAGATCCCTGTGTGTCAGCCGGCTGGCGAGTACAGAACACGTGTTTTCACGGAAGTCAATAAATCGTAATTACCAATTAAAATCCCACTATCTGCGGGGAGGGGGGGGGGGAGTTGCTTTAGGGAAAAAAACTACATCTCCCAGGAGCCTCCGCGAAAATGAGTCTCACCTTGCGTAATCACGTACTCCTTCGCCGTGGTGGGACAAAATAATCCCCTTTTTTTTTCTTTTCTTTCTTTCTTTCTCCCCCCCCCCCTTTCCTGAAGGGAGCGGGAGGGATAATATTTCATTTTTTTCTCCTCCCCGGAAGAATTTCCAAATATTACCACTATAAAAAGAAGCTGCTTCTAACCGGAGGTGATTTAAGACCATTAGATAAGGAAGAAGAAGGAAAAGATGATCTGAAATCAAAGTGCTGCGGAGGAATTTCGGCCAAGCCGTGAGAGCACGGAGCGCACCGAAGGACGACGACCGAGAGGGGCCGCGGGCAGCGTGCTCGGAGCCGGGGTCTCGCCAGGCCTCGGGCCCCGCCGGCCTGGCCCTGCCGTCGGCAGGTGAGTGAAGCCAGGCGGCCCCGGGGGGGGGGTGCCGGGGGCGCGCCGGCGGGCCGCCCTCCCACAGCCCGTCCCTTTGAACTTCCCCCCTTTTGCCGTTGTTACTGGCTGGGGGGGGGGGGGGGCTTGCGGCCCAGCTTGAATGGGGGCGCTTCACTTCCGGCGGGGGGAGGGGAGGGGACGCCGTCACTGTGGAGGAGGGGGGGCATAACTCACTTCCTGTGCCGGGGCAGGAGGTGGGGGGGACTGTTGTGTGTGGAAGGGGAAGGTGATGGCTTGGGGGTGACCTGCTCCCGTTTCCTCTGCTTGGTAAGGTGGGTTTTGGGGAAGAGGGCGGGAAAGGGAGGGGTGTGTGTGCGTGTTTAATATCAAAAGTTAATTCACCCAAGTTTGTGCTGATCACTCCACACACACACACACACACACACACACACACACACACACACGTGAACTTGGGTGTTTTTGCTTCCACGTGTAAGACGGGAAAATTGTCTCCCCACCGCCCATCCCCAACAAGATTTTCCTAATGCTTTCTCCAAATAACTTGAATCTCCTGTTCAAAACTCTGAAGACTACGGATTTTGTAGTGTGACTGGAGGTGAAAAACACACCTTCGCTCCCCAGCTCAAGTTCATCCTGGATTGAATGAGCTAGAATGTTCTCTGCCTTGACATGCAACTGGAACTCTGTAAGGAGATGGTTTATTAGAAGACTGAATAGTTACAGACATGACCCGAACGTTTTCATCTTGGCAAAGGGAAAGCATCTTACTGCAATCATTCATTCTGGTGCTATTTTTAATATCACTGGTATCTTACATCGACATTTTGTCTTGGGGCTACAGGTTTTGCCCTGTGCCTCATGACACTTCCTCAGCCTTAAAAAAAAAAAAAAAAAAAAAAAAAAAAAAAATCTGCTGCAGAAACATGGGGTTTTTTTTGTTGTTGTTAGTGGTGGTAGTGTTCATTTTTGCCTTGGTTTTTTAGAGGGAAGAAAGGTGGGCACAAAAAGGGAGGGTAGAGAGTAAACAAATATAATCATGCTATTCACTTTACACTATGTGGAAAATGACCTATGTAACTTGTGGTTAGGAATTAGAGGGGAAAGCGAAGGAAGGGGTGACATGGTCCAGAAAAAGAAATGTATTCATTACCTCACTTACAAAATGGTCCCTTCTGTACAACACTTTAGTAATAACAATAAAATTATAGTTTTTAAAAAATCTGTCCTGCCAGGCGCCAGTGACTCATCATACCTATAATCCTAACTACTCAGGAGGCTGATGTTTGAGGATCCCAGTTGGAAGCCAGGCTGGACCAGAAAGGACATGAGACTCTTATCTCCAATAAACTACTCAGAAGAAGCCAAAAGTAGTGCTATAGCTGAAGTTGAAGAGTGCCCTGGCCCTGAGTTCAAGCCCCAGAACCTGCAAAAACAATCTGCCTTGACTTGGAGGTGTGGTTCAGTTGGTAGAGCACTAGTATCAGGTACTGAATTTGGGTCTGGGTCTCAGACCTAAAAATAACAACAACAAAAACTGCCACTTGTAGCCATTTGTACAAGGTGTATTTTCCTCCATTTTCTGTCTTTATGATTTAATTTAGCATCAATTTTAAAATGATGCCTGTTCTTTATGGGTTTATTTGCTTTGATACCAGTACTGGGCTTGAACTCAGGGCCTGGGTGCTGCCCCTTAGTTTTTCCCTTAAGGCTGGTGATCTACCACTCTGCTTCTGGCTTCTTGCTGATTAATTGGAGACAAGACTTTCATGGACTTTCCTGCCCTGGTTAGCTTCAAACCAGAGTCCTCCAATCTCAGCCTCCTGAGTAGCTAGAATTACAAGTGTGAGTTACTTAACATCCAGCTTTCTTTGTGTTTTATTTTTGTTTTCTGCCAGTGCTGGGGCTTGAACTCAGGGCCTGGGCACTGTCCCTGAGCTTCTTTTGCTCAAGGCTAGCATTGTACCACATGAGCCACAGCACCACTTCTGGCTTTTGCTGTGTATGTGATGCTGAAGAATCAAACCCAGGGTTTCATGCATGTGAGGCAAGCACTCTACATTCCCAGCCCTCTATGGTTTTCAAGCATGGAGCAAAGCTCATGAGCTCAGTCCATATTTTAAGGAAAGGGAAATATTATTAACAAATGACAAAACTGTTACGTATTTAAATATGTAGGTTTAATTAGGTAGCTGGTAAAGAGAACACCACGAGCTTTCAGGCAGGAAAAGGAGTTTATGTTACTGAACTGCCTGCCCCTGCCATGCAAGGTGGAGACCACATGGCCAAAGAAATGGGCGGCTGAGGTCTGACCTGGGTTTAAGTAGAGAAGGGGAGAGGAGAAGGTGCAGCCAGGTGGGGGAAGGTGTGGCCACACTGGATGCAGATATGACCTCAGAGCCTGGTCTGATGGGAAGCAGGGGGGGGAGCAGCTGGGGATGTGACTTCCAGGTGTGCCAGTTACCTAGGTGACACAGGTACTGGGCAGAGACTTAGCCAAGAGGAGGGAGGAACCTGCCTCGCCTTCCCAGGGTGAACCTTACAAAAATGAATAACAGCTGCTTTCCCATATTTGTGTGTGTGCGTGTATGAAGCTGTCATCTGAGATGGCAGTAAATACTCTCAACTTCAATTTCTTGGCCTCTGTTGAAGAGTTATCCAGGTGTATGGATAAAGAAGGAATCAATCTTTTGGAGCTTACATTATGGAATCCTCAACAGATTCATTAATTTTAGGATATCTTCAAGTGAGCCTACACTTTCTTCAAGAACTTAAGGCTTGTGTATATCTTCCTTTGGGATGAGTTTGCAATTCATTCTAGTTCTTTTAAAAAGCTGTTTGGTTTAGTTATTTGCAAAATGTTCTAGAAACTAGAAGTCATCATAGGAATATTTTAAACTATTTTGTTTTGGTTTTAACTTGACATCTCCAGCTGGAATGTAGCTCAGGGGTAGAAGCATTTGCCTAGCATGCATGAAGTCTTTAGTTCAATTCTTAGCATTGCAGAAATAAACATCAGAGAGGGCAAGAGGACACTTAACCTTGCATGGAAGCGTTGGGGTTCATCTCCAACACAACAGTACAGTATGTAATCAGTCTGAGACTCTAAAATCAATTATCTTTTGAAAGACTGCAGAATTGCTACCATAAGCTGACTAAAAAAGACAAGACTAGGGGCTGGGAAGGTGGCTCGGTGGTAGAGCGCTTGCCTTGCATGCATGAGGCCCTGGGTTCGATTCCTCAGCACTACATAAGCAAAAAGAAAAAAGCCGGAAGCGCTAGCCTTGAGCTGAAGAGCTGAGGGACAGCGCCCAGGCCCAGAGTTCAGGCCCCACGACCGGACCCAAAAAAAAAAAAAAGACAAGACTAAATGAGCCTGTGTTCTTAATAGAAGAGGAGGGCCATGTACACCATCTTAAGTAGTTACTAATAGCCTCAAAAGAAAGTGTGCCAGAGCCAGACACTGGTGGCTCACGCCTGTAATCCTAGCTACTCAGGAGGCTGAGATCTGAGGATCACAGTTCAAAGCCAGCCCGGGCAGCAAAGTCCGTGAGACTCTTATGTCCAATAAACCACTAGAAAACCAGAAGTAGTGCTGTGGCTTAAGTGGTAGAGCACTCACCTTGAGCTGAAGAGCGCAAGGACAGTGCCCAAGCCCAGAGTTCAAGCCCCATGACCGACCAAAAAAAAAAAAAGTGTGCCAGTATCTTTATATAACTGTCTTATACAAAATGATGGGATCACCCTGCAAAAATTAAACTATTAGTATTAGGAATTAAAGTATTAGGAATTGCTGAAGTATGGAAAAATTGTAGGACTGAATTAGAAAAAGAAAATACTTTCAAAATACTGGCTGAAGCCAGGTACTCATGGCTTACTCCTGTAATCCTAGCTACTTGGGAGGCTGAGATCTGAGGATCGTGGTTCAAAGCCAACACAAGAAGGAAAGTCCATGAGATTCTTATCTCCAATGAACCACCAAAAAGCCAGAAGTGGGCTGGGAATGTGGCTTAGTGGCAGAGTGCTTGCCTAGCATGCATGAAGCCCTAGGTTCAATTCCTCAGTACTACATACACAGAAAAAGCCTGAAGTGGTGCTGTGGCTCAATTGGTAGAGTGCCAGCCTTGAGCAAAAGAAACTCAGGGGCAGTGCCCAGGTCCTGAGTTCAAGTCCCAGGACTGACACATAAATATATTTATTTATATTTATAGTCATATACAAACACACACTGAGATTCAGTAGTATTGTCTTTTGGAATCTGTCTTTGGAAAGCAAAGGAGTTTATTAACTTGGCCCTCCAGATTCTCCATGGAAGACATGTAGTATAATAGAAATAAGAAAAATTGCTGCAGCTGAAAGACTCGAGAAGCTTGAAGAACTGTCTGTAGAGAAGGAAGCAATATATAAAGTAAATATCTGGAAGAAGATGTCTTGTGATAAGTGACAGTTATTCATTGGCTCCATCAAAGAAGAAATATTAGAAAAGCTTGTGACAAATAAAGAAGAGTAGTCTGTGGAGCCTCTTCTCCTTTTAAAGTGCTGCTCTGAAGAAGCTATCTTCCAAGATGGTGTGTTTTGTTGTTTTTTTTAATGCCTTTTGTTGCATGTTCTTTGCATTTTATAATAGAAGGATGTCACATTTAAGGTGGGGAAAAAAAAGTCTAAATATTCAAGAGACTGAGATCTGATTTGAAGCCAGCCTGGGCAGAGAAATCCACTCTACTCCATCTTCAAAAGAATCAACAAAAAGCCAGGCTGGAGGTGTGGCTCAAGTGGTAGAGCACCAGCCAAGTGAGCAAACAAGCCAAGCAGGTAGGCATGAAGCTTAAGTTCAAATACCAGTACAGGCCAAAACCATAAAAAAAAAGAGGTAGTGTTCTTCTAAGACTTCATTATTTCAACAGAAGTTCAGCACCTGTCGATGTTCTGAGGACTTCAAATACAAAATGCCTGAATCCTCTTGGAGTTTACTTTTTTTGTTTCCAAACTAGGTTTTCCCA